GACGGTCTTATGGGGAATTAAACCCCGCGTATCGGCACGTGGGAAGCCGACAAGTTCACCTCTTCATTGAATCTCGGTAGGCCGGTACTGAGAAGGTTGGCCATGTCTATTTTCTTTATTTCTTTCACATAGCTGCTGTTTATTTTCACCTGGTGGAAGATTGTCCATATCCTTTTTCTATTTCATTTCATATTGTTACCGCATCTCAGCATTGACGTTGATAGGACGTGCTCCTTCCATTCTAAAATACTCTATCCGGTCCGCTTTCATAGGCATTCAAGGGTTTTGGAGTAAGTGTCGTTCTTATTTTTCAACAAGTCAAATATTTCTTACTTTGACTATATACATAAAAACATTATTAATATTTATGATGTATAATAAATATTATTAGATTAATTACAAAATATATTTTATAATAAACTTATTTAGAGATATAAATGTTGCTAATATTTTTTATAAATTTAGCCAAACTTTAAAAAGTTTTGACCTGCACGGAACCTAAAACGATTCTTATTTTGGGACGGAGGAGTAGACTTTCAAGTTTAAGCGCTCAGGTTGCATATAATTCATGAACTTATCAGCCGGCTTATCAGCTAGAATCTACAGTATTTTTCTCTCATAACAAAACAGTTTCAGCCGGCTTTAATACCAGCCGAACAGGCCCATACAAGTCCGCATCTCAATTCTCAAGCAAAACAAACGTACCCATACAAACCAGCTAGTGATTACATGGTCGATGTGTGAAACTTTTAGGGTTAACACTTAAGACTAACAATTATCCTTAGTCGATCCTGGCTCTAAATTAGTTGATAAAATACTACTTTTCAAACCACAAATTTATATTACAGGCAGTGTTCGCCTAACACAGCCACGAAACGGTAAATGGTGCGTGGCGAGTTGTTTTGTTTAGCGGTAAACGGTGAACGGTAAATGCCTCAAATATAGATTTTTTTAATTACACAATACGATGCATGCACACTCACCTCTACAAAAGCACGTAAACCCTACCTCTATGAGAACCTTTGAAGGCTGAACTGGCAAATTCTCGAGATGAGATCGATGAAGTCACCACGAGCGGCTCACTATCAATGGGAACGTCGCCTACTATTGAAAGCATAATATATTACTCCCTCCGTCGCATAAAAAGAGTCGCTATAGGACTCGTGCTGGTCAAACTTTCTTAAGTCTGACTAGATTTGTAAAAAATATTAGTAGCACTTCTCTATATAAGTTTACTATAAAAAAATATATTCAACGATCTATCTAATGATATTGTAGCCTAGTGATTATAAGAGTCTCGGTAGCACCTCGGGTCTTAGCTCTAGTTTGGTTTTGGATAATTGATGAAATCTAGTTGGACTAATCGTTGTCTAAGTATGTGTTTATAGGGATGAGTTTGCGTGTGTTGTGAGTGTCTGCGTTGTACTGTGTAATCCTAAAAAAATATACCATAAATATTAATATTTTCTTATATATATTTGATAAATGTTAAAAATATTTAACTTTTGGGAAGCGAGAATGAGTCTGACGGAACCATACCTCACTGTTTAGTCAAAGCTTGTCAGCCGTCATGAGACCGATATGTCTCCTATCGGCTTCTCAATGACCGATTGGGTGCTAGTTTTGCAATTTTTAAAAGTAACATCTAAATTTATAATTATTTATTTATATAATATTATTTCAAAAAATATTCTGCAAATTACACTATGGCATATTGGCATGCATGTGCCAGAGGCTTGATCGTGGGGCTGGGGCAAAAGTCCTGAAACCTTGTTTCGTTAGGCTTAACACCTTGATTTCTAGTAGAAATTTTCTAGCTATATAGGGTTGCCGTTATGTACGTACTGTAGTAAACGTGCACGTTACGAATTCGAACCTAATACGTGTGCTTACTTATACGTACAGCAAATATAATCAAGGCGTCGTCTCCAACCAAAACCAGTCTGTCTGATTCTGAATCTGAAGAGAGAAAAAGGAAGGAAGGGATCGATCGGAAGAAAACAATGCAAACGACAATGGATCATGGCGCCGGCGCCGGCATGGCTGAAGCGACGACGACGTCCCTGCAGCACCTGAACGACGACATGGTGGCCGAGATCCTGCTCCGCCTACCGTCGGCGTCCGTGTTCCGTTGCCGCGCCGTCTGCAGGGCATGGCGCGGCATCACCAGCAGCCCGGGGTTCGTGGCGGCCTATGCCCGGCGGCGGCCCCTGGAGCTCATCGTGCAACGCCATGGCGCCAACGGCGTGCTGGACACCATCCCGCTGGCGCTGGGCGACGAGGAGGAGGAGGCCCGCCGATGCCTCCACCCCGGGTACCCCAGGTGCGAGATTGTGCCGGGTCTTTTCAAGGGCGGCTACAGCTTGGTCGCCTCCTGCGTCGACGGCGGGCTCCTGCTGTTCGAGAGGTTCATGCATGGCGACGTCTCGCTCTACCTGGTGTGCAACCCGGTGAGCCGGCAGTGGGTCATCGTGCCGCTGCACAGCAGAAGGATGACGCGGCCCTGCGCCCTGTACGTCCACCGGCCGTCCGGCGAGCACAGGCTGCTTCTACTCGCCAACGACGACGAGTGCAACGGCTGGGGCAAGTGGGCGTCGCACTACGTCCGCTCGCTCGAGGCTGCTGAGACCCGGCGGCTGCAGGGTCCGGCGGTGACAGGCATCTACATGTGCGACCGGATGGTAATCCACAGCCTTGAGCACCGCGGCAGGCTTCACTGGCTAGACGACCATCCGGAGGCGAAGGCCACCGGCACGGTCTTGGCGTTCGACACGGTGTCTGAGACGTTCCGGCGGATGGCGCGGCCGCCGCCGCTGAGGAACGGGAACGGGAACGACCACCGCGAATTCAAAGGTGGTGGTGAGCTCTCGCTCTGCCTGCTGGAGATGGACGGGATGGTGGCCGTGGCAGCCATCCTCGGTGGTTCGATGGACGTTTGGGTGCTCCAGGACTACGACGACGACGAGAGCTGGGCGCACCGCCACCGGGTAGACTGCCTGCCGCCGCCGTTTCTGCAAACGCGCTGGGTGATCAACGCCAACGCTGGTCAGCACAAGAATAACAACAACAATGACGTGATTATTGTTCTGCAAGACAGCAGCGGCAGTTGGGTGGGGCTATATGATCTTTCAAACAAGAGGCTGCTCAAGCAAATCCAGGTTATCAGTGATCCTCGGGAGGATGGGCGGATTTTTTATAGTACTCACCTAAATGCCCTCCTGTTCAGGGATACCATTCAGCGACACAGCTTCTTCGATCTTCGCAAGTCGATTTTCCAATTTCCAGACTCGGATTATAGCATCTTTTCTGAAGTCCTTGATTTGCAAGGTGTGATCTAGCTTGCATTGTCCTCTCTCTCTCTCTCTCTCTCTCTCTCTCTATTTGGCCTTGTCTCTTAGCTTCGTCTGCCTGTCATACAAGTTATATATTATTATTATTATTATACAAGAAAAGCTATCTGTTGAAAATAAAAAAATTTGGTAATGTATATATCAGTCGCAGTCCCAGAGGACGATTTTCAAAAGTCGTTCCCCCATGGAACGAATTTGCATGGAGCCTCTTCGATCTTCAATGGTTTAAAGAATTCCAACGTTGTTTGATCGACGCCCGAAATTTGTGTTACGCAAAAACGGAGAAAAATAATTTGTTTGTTGTTGTACTATAAAATCATTTGCATGTTTTTTTTGCGGCAATGTCATTCACATAGATATACCGTCGTGGCGTCGGGAACTCTTTTTTTCTTTTTTGCGCCAGTGGCGTCTGGAAGTCGATGGAGAGATGCTACCTCTATGTATCGACTAGCCAAAGTATTTGTCGTGTCACACAATTTTTTTTAGCTGTTTGGTTTAATGCCACAACTGTGCATCACATGTCATATTTTCTTAGGACCTTGATCCAGACGTCATCGATTCATTTTCGTGTCAACCTTTGCCACAAATGTGGCTTCGATTTTACTCGTCACATTTTCTATGGCCGCAACAATTTGCCAAAGGCTTGGTGTGACAAACTTCGGCACAAAACTTGCACAAACTACACGAACAATACTTGCCTTATTTTAATCTAGTTCAACTGATGGTCCAACTGATCAAACCATAAGCAGTTGTTGTCCAGTTATTATGTCTAAATAAATGTGACTCCATCCTATACGCTTGCACCAATGTCAAAGGCCGCAAATTGAAGGAAAAAAAAACGAGAGGTCTCTCTTGGCATAAACACAAAGCAGACATACCAATTCATGGCACATCAACAACTAAGTCCTTGCCGGCTTGAATCATATATTAAAACTATAGATTTTTATTGGTTTTAAAAAAAAAGTAGCGAAACTTGATACATAATTGTACCCAATACATGAGTAGTATAAAAATTAAAATAGCAATGTATTTATGAGCAAATATGTCTATGCTCTATAACGGAAGGAAGAATTTCCAGTTAGATATATGCATTTCGTGGCCGGAAAGCGTGGTTGGCGTGGAGGTAGATATATGCATGGTCTGGCCCAAACAGCAGTCCCAAACGTCCAATTTTTTATGGCTTAGGGCTGAATGGTGTTGCCTGATTAATTTTAATTCAAAAGTAAAATATAATTTTGAGCATGCAATATGTCTCTAGATGATTTTTTTTTCTGGATTTTCAGAAAGCATTTTGGGGGATACACCGCTAAATCAAACACTCAATAAAGTATTTCAGGAAGAATTTTGAAAAATATAGCAGCAAGCGCAGCGTGGTTAAAATTCTATACGGCGCTGAGTTTGTTACAGTGGGGCCCGCGGGGAGACGCCACATGGACATAAATCCCGTGCTCGGCTCGGCTGGCAGGCTGGCACCGCCATTTCTCCCTCCTCGCATCCCTCCCCGCCTCACCCACCAATTCCAACTCCATTGCTGATCGCCTCACGCCTCCTCCGCCCCGCACCCTCGGCCTCGCCGCACCGACCGCAGCCGTAGCCATCATGGAAGAAGTAGAACTCCTCGGTGCCCGGAGCACGACGAGAGCCGCCACCATGGCGCTCTCCCCTCGTCACCAGCTCCTTGCGGCGGGGACTGCTGCCCGCCCGCACGCCGGGTGGGATGGAGGGAACTCGCGGATTGACATCCTCAGCCTATGGGACGATGAGCCAGAGAGCGGCCGCCAGTTGGAGGTCGTCGCCACCATCCCGGCTCCCAGCAACCGCGCCTTCCACAGGCTGGCGTGGTCGGCGAGCGACGCCAGCAACTCGGCATACCCGTATGGCCTCCTCGCTGGCGCCCTTGACGACGGCGTCGTCTACGTTTGGGACCCGTACAAGCTCGACTAGTAAGTTTCCGTATCCGCTTCTAGCCTTCTACCCTTCTTCTTCGGTTCACGTGCATCTCTCTCGTCTTCTTCGATCGGGTTCGTCGTCGTCGTCGCTAGCTTAAGCGCGCCTGCGCTTAATTTAGTGGTGTGTTCCTTGCCATGTTTCGTGTTGTGTTTGTTCCACATAGACTCGCGTGCTTAGGCTGCGTTTAGGAGGGGGATTGTGCGCTGCAGCATCATTGGAAAAGGGTTAAGGGGAGGCAGGCCAGTCCGGCGGAAGAGGTGGGTTACCGGGGCGGAGGGGCGCGGCGGCGAGGGCGCCACTGGTCGCGACTCGCGATTGGCGATTGGCTAGAACACAAACGTGTGTGGGGAACGGGCGAAGCCCGGCAGGGGTGGCTGCAGCGGACCTGGCTCCGGCAACGGTGGGGACGGATGGTGGAGGGCGGCGGGAGGCGGGGGGAACGTACGCGGAAGGAAGAAAGAGGGAAGAAGCCCAACATGGTCCGGTTGGAACAAGACCCAACCCGGCCATGACCAGCCCATGGCAAACCGCATCTGGAGGCCACAACACAACACGGGCCGATTTTCATCCGGTTCCACACCGCACAAACCCGTGTCGGGCGTCACGCGTCAGCTCATCTTCTTCCTCCTGGCACCTGAGATTTGATCGAGATGAGACGCCGCCGCCACCGCCCACCGGCAAATGCTAGGGCCATGCGCGTCCTCCACGAAGCAGCGAGGATGCGATCTTGGCGAGATCAGCGACTGCCTGTCGGTCCAGGAGCCGCGCGAGGCCGGCACGGCGGCCTGCAATCTCGGCTGGGTCTGACCAACGCAAAGTGCCTCCACCTCCAAGCGCGGCGGTTACGCGTGGATGCAGATGGCGCACTGCAGGAGCTGGAGCACGGGCACGACGCCACCGGGCGGAGCTTGCTGCAGGCCAAGAAAGGTGTGTGTGTGTGTGTGAGAGAGAGAGAGAGAGAGCCTGAATTTCACATCCTGCAACGACGGCAGCGGCGGCCTTGCGAGAGCGAGCGATTGGGGCGGAGCGGGAGAACCGCTGCAGGTCGCCTTTTTCCACCTCCGTCACCTACTAGGCGGGTCTCGATTTGCCCGTTCCTACCTCTCTCCGCTTCCACCTTCTCTTTCCCCTGAAATTAAGATTAACCTGCTGAAATCATTCAACCAGTGGGTACCAAATCGCTGCATATGGATTGGGTTTTATCCAAAGGCCGTGCAAAACGGGGCCTAGGGAGCAAGCTGCCCTGAGAAAGAAGAAAAGAGGTCTGTTAGACCTTGATAGGGCGATTCACATTCATCGTCAGAAAAAACCTTTAAAATCAGGTCTCTGAATTTTAGCAACTCCCATATTGTGCAGGTGTTTTTATATATTGTGCAGGTGTTTTATATATTGTGCCATCATCAGTTCAACACCCTTCCTATGTTTTGTGTTGTTAAAGAGTTGATCACACCGTTTTGTTTTATGCATGCCGTGCCTTTTCTTGCTGTTATTTTGGGGTACCCAAAAGATCCCAGTAAGTATTCATCTTTATACAGACTCTATATGAGAGATGGTGATTTAGTTATTTACCTGTTCTAAGTTTTTTTCACAAAATTATGTGGTTTTCACATGGAATGGCTCCTTACTAACTTCAACTGGTTTATACAACCAATCTGACAGTACCTCAATTGGTGGTGGAAATCAGTACCAGATAAAAGAAGTGTATGTTTCTTTACCAATTTACTTTTCAGCGCTATAATTTCTATTATTTCCTATTTATTTGTGACACATACTTACATGCAATACAATGATACAAGAATCCGTGATGATAACCTCAAATCTGTAGGGAGGAAGCTGCTTCAGAAAGGCAGTCGGAGTTTAACAATCTTCTTAAGGACGACTTCATAGAACACTCTCTAAAAGGATTTAATCTAGAATCCAAGGTTAACCGTGATGATGTTGAGGACTGGGTTGTTCTAGACAAGCCCAACAGAACTGACAACAGTGGGTTGGTGCTAAAGCTAAATGATATCAGTGGAAAAGTGAGCTTTTGCATTAGTTCAATTCTAGCTTTTGGTAACTGCATACATGCGTGTAATACTTGTTTTGTTATTTTAGGTTTTTGCCATATCATTTAGTAACAATCAACATAAAAATGTCCTTGCCTATGGTGGAGATAGTGAGAAGTTAAAGCTTTACCAGCTTGATCATCCTATCAAATCTTATGAAGTAAGTGATAATATAGTAATTAAATAAAAAGAACACGTTATCTGCGTATCATCAAATCTGATTTCTGAATAATGTTTGTTTGATTTTAGTTGGCTGATGTTGGGTCAAGTTCTCGAACTACTTTCGTAGATTGGCACCCTCAGTATCCTGTAGCAATTGCAAGCACATGCGATGCTGCAACAGCAAGTAATGTCTATAACTATCTACCTGTGTTTATGACGATTTTCTTTTATTCTATAATAATCTTGTTTTTAAATGAATGTAGAGATTTGGGATTTGAGAGTAAAGAAACCAACACACAGCATTAACCAAAAGAACAAGCATTGCACTGAGATTCACTGGAATGCAAACCACCCTGTGGAGTTTGTCGTCGGATCAGTAGGTGATGATACCACAGTCAAGGTCAGCTATTTAGCCTCATCCCATCTCTAGATTCCCTCATCTCTTTTTACTCTTGTACCTTATGTTGCTTTTCTCCATTCAGATATGGGATTTACGCAGCACTTATCGTACATTATCTGCTTTTGGACCTGAAAAAGGTAATTTCACACTGCTTGTTATTTAGTTGGAGCCTTAACTTGCTAGCATGGTTGGCCATGCCTGTTTTTTACCTGTGAACATTAAACTCGAAAATTAAACAGTAGTGGACACTATCACCAGGTGAGCATTGATTCGAAATTTGTGAACTGTGTTTGAACAGTAGGAAGTGTGTAGAAAAGTAACTGAAAATTGCTGGAGTATAGAAAAGTGTTTGCTACAGTGGTCAGAAGTCTGAGGAGCAGGGATTCTTTCCCGGCTGAAGATTAGTATAAACAGTAGTGGACACTATCACCAGGCGAGCATTGATTGGAATTTTATGAACAGTGTTTGAACAGTTGGGAAGTGGGTACAAAACAGAGTGGTTACTATGCTAGTGCTGCTGCCTTAAGTTGTGCTCGGCATGCAGTTTGTACACTGCCTTAGCTGGTCAGCTAATATAGCGCTGATTGTGGACTGTGCCTCAGTGCCTGCTTATCCTGGGAACTGGCTAGGTAGCGCATGCAGTTGTCAGTGTTAGAGGTGCTCAGACAGAGCTCGCCTGATAAAAAATTTATGTACTATTTACAACCAGTATGTTAGCAACCGGTAACTGGATGGAAGGAAGGAGCAGGGAATTAGAGCAGCAGAGGAAGTATCAGCAGGAAATTAGAGCAGCAGAGGAAGTGTAGGGTTTCAGAGAAGGAAGATGAACAGTAGAGACGGGAAAACTCGAGAGGGAGGATGAACCTGTTTGGTATTCTGAATATTCGATGCCCATTCCCGTCCGGCTGTTGTTGCTCTTGTAGTGCTTCAGTGTCTTCCTTGGGCCTTGGTTGTGAGGCACATGCTGGCCGGCCCATAAGCCCATGGCCGTATCCTGACATTCCCCTCTCCTTGAGATTCGGCCTGCCCCCAAGCCGATGGAGAATTATGGAACCACCGGGATACCAAATGATTCTTGACTTATCAAGGCCAAATGGTAATATGCTAGCTCTAGTGTTTCCCTTTGCTGCCATACTGATCAACATTGTAGTAGCGGAAGGCTCATGAGACAAGGAATATGTCAAGCTGAAGCCATTAGCACTATACTGCATTTCCTTGCTGGTAATCAAGATTTTGTAACAAAAATAACTGAAAATTGCTGGATAGTATAGAAATGCGTTTGCTACAGTGATCAGAGGTCTGAGGAGGCAGGGATTCTTTCCCGGCTGAAGATTAGTATTATATTATGCATTTCCAGTTGCATTTTTGTGTGATCTATATTTTATCTTAATTTATTTATCATATAAGTTGTTGCAATTTCTTTGTTCCCATGTTTGTCAAGTTAAAACTCTAGTGCTTATGCTTATAGTATATGAGGGTTTCCAATTAAATATATTAAGATGTGTTCATATATCGTAATGTTTAGGAGTGGTCTCGCTTTCCTGGTGTCGTAATCCAAATTTGATCATTACCACCGCTGTGGATGGAGGGGTTGACTGCTGGAAACTGAATGTGATTGAGGTAATATTGTAATGTTTACATTAACTATACTTCTCTTTTGAAACAATTTAACTATACTTCTCTAAAAAAAAGGTGCATAAACCTTATTCCATGCCTTGTCTTTTAGGGCTCAGAACCATCTCGGACGGTATACTTGCCCCCTGAACGTAGATATTTGCCTTTGGGTGAGAAGCAAGAGACAGCCTGGTTCGATGACAATGTGATCGTGGCATCTTCTGCCCTCAACATTGGACTGTACAAGCTGAAGTCCCCGTGGTGATGAGTTCTTCCCCGATGAACATTGGATCGTACAAGCTGAAGGCCCCGTGGTGATGAGAACTCGGAACTCCAAGTAGCCGAAAACGATTCTGTACTTGATAACTCGAGCTGTTGTTTCGTCCGATTAACGTTGCTGAATCGTAATCCTTGTGGGGAAGGATGTGAAGGTACTTGATAACTCGAGCTGTTGCTTCGTGCGATTAACGTTGCTGTTGCTGAATCGGAATCCTTGTGGGTAAGGATGTGAAGATGTTTGTTTGGTGTTAATTAACTCTTATACTTAGGCCCTTGTCCGTCTCCGGTGACAAAAGTCCACAACCATTACGAGGCGGGCCAGAGGGCAGATACCGGAAGCCCCGGAATACATGGCACCATTTAATTTCTCAGTGAGCAAAACCATTTAGGTGCCGTTTGGTTCACAAATAGCAACTGTAACGTAAAGGTAATGGATGGACGTGGGTAATGGGAATGGAACGGATGATTACTTATTCTGTTTGGTTGGGCAGGCGCCTCAAATCTAGGGGGAACAGGTTTGTGAAGGCGCGGCATGTTCCGTGGCATCGGGTTACATCCCATATTAAGGTTTCGTTTGACAGAGCTTCACTTCATTAGTGAAACTATTTTTTTTTTTTACTTCAGATCCACGAACAGCTCCACCAGTGGAGCTGAAGCGATTTTGATAAATCATTTGACAAAATGGCTTCCTTGTGAAAGCATGTTTTTAGGGGTCTGAAGGAGGAGCCGAAAGAAGCCACTATTTTTGGCTCCTTCCCACCCCAAAGCTCTGAGAGCACGCTTTTAGGGGCTTCATCGGTGGAGCCGTTTTATTTTACCTCGTTTGACACAAAACGGCTCCAAACGGCTCCTGAAGCCGCTAGAGAAGCCCTGTCAAACGGGGTGTAAACAAACAAAAAGTAACGAAAGTAGTTAACGCCGTGAACAGGTCCCGCTGTAAAACGAGCGAACCAAACAGCACCTTAATCACGAGCACACCAGTACATCAGAAATGTTGGATACATAATCCTACCAAAAAACAGAAGCAGCTAACCCCTACAACACAACACATCATTTGGCACAACTCGTCAGCACACACGGATACACCACACGGCGATAAACATGCTGGGAGCGACATAGCAGCAGCAACAACAATAGGACTGAGACTGACGCACAGAGGAGAGGATTCAACAACAGTGACATGATCTTGAGCGAACTCAGGAGTAAACCGAGCTGTGCTTAGGCCAGGGCAGGGAACTGAGCCTGGTCTTCGATGGTTGGAGCAGCAGCTGGTCCCCGATAACCACCATTGTAACCAACACGGAACCCCCCACGCTCACCACGACCCCTACCACGGCCACGGCCACGGTTACTGGGGTTATAGTACCTCTCACCTTCAGCTGGCTTCAAGAATTCGTTGATGCTCAGGGACTTCAGGGAGGCAGGAACAAGGGAAACAGGAAACAGACATAGCAGTTAGCAAAACAACAGCAACTCTGATGATCAGACTGAAGTGTAACGAGGTGAAAATATCAGAAACCTTCTTGGCCCGTTCTTCTCTTTCAGCATTTTCTTTCTTTTTCAAGTCCTTGTCAGAGCCCTAGAAAATCAAAACCGACTGTGACCAACAGGAAAAGGAAAGAGCAGTATGCACACAACGTAACGTACCAGCTTGATAAACACTTCATCAGCATCCTTTTTAACTGACAATTGTTGCATGGACTGCAGCTCCTTGTCAATTTCAACTTTTCTCTCCTCAGCCTTGAGGGCAAATAAAGCTTTTCGTTTTTCCTCCAGTACCTTTTCATATTCCTCCAAAGTCATCTCCTGCATCATGGTGAGCAAACATTATTTCACAAACTACTCTATTTTGATGAAAAAATGACATCCCAACTTAATTACAGTCAGTATGCAGGGATGCCATATCAGTACAGGAAGATGGCAAACATTTTTTTTTATTAGAACAAGATGGCAAACATATAGGAGTATCCATACAAAAGCACCCAAAAGGTCTAGAGAAGTTGAATTACAGAAACACAAAGATTCAATAGAACCACCCAAAGGGGAAAAAGGAGAATGAAGGAGTAATGATACTTATCAAAATCAAATGTTCACAATTGTTTTACAAGAAACACAAATATCCCAAATCAAATCTTGGAGCCAAAACTTGCAAGCACATAGCATGTTCTGGACTGAAATTTTGCATAACTGGAAAACTGACAGGCAGACAAAGAATAGTGATGCATGCATTCTAATAGAGGGCCATTGCATTTGGCAGAATTGAGCAAAACTAATGGATTGAAAAGCAGAAGAGCCTCTTAAAAACAAAAATAATGCAGTGATCAAGAAGGTAATGTCAGTCCCTTATTGGCACAGCAACACTGATTTTCAAGCAAAGATTTCCAAAATAAATAACTAGTAGTAGACTATCGAGCGAGGTTTGATATGAATGAAACTAAATGAATCACAAAATATTTCCACCAATCTACTCCACATTTTTTCCAGATATATAAACAAATGTTCAGAACATTGTAAGTGTCATAGTACCCAAAATTACAGGTGGTGCTACGCATGTTAAAGAGTGCTACCATTACCCTGTACAGAATGTGCTAGCCATACTACAACCATACACATACACATTGCAAAGTGGTATGTGGTAGCAGGGGCGTCACAGTACGAATCAGAAATATACCTTATCCTCAGGTTCCTTTTCTTCCTCTTCATTCTCCGCACCCTCCTTGTCCTTCTCAACCTCAGACTGTGGTGCATCTTCAGGTTTCTTATGCTCCACCATGGCAGCAGTCTCCTCAGGATTAACGGCATCCACAGTGTCCCTATAAGCAGCATACAAAAAGGTCAAAACTCTACACATCAATCGTAGTAACCTAAAAAATGGTTCATGAAACCACATAGTGTAGACTGAATAGCAACAATCTTAACTGTGCAAGGCCTTCATCAGTCGCAGTCCCCCAATTTCCGCGCCCAGCCCCTTCACGCTTCATCTCGTAACCACGGCCTGTGCCGCTGTGGCGCTCATATGCCCGGCGAGGACGTCCGAACTCATCCCCAGCCTGCCCATCGGTATACCCGCCACGGCGCCCACCTCCACGGTAAGGCTGGCGGGGCCCACGGCCCCTCTCTGCCTGCCTCCCCTCACCATTTTCACCGCGAGCAACTACACCATCTCCAAAGCCGCCGCCACCACCACCATACCCTCCCTCAAAGCCGTTGGCATCAGCATCGCCGAAATCTCGCCTCGTGCCGGCCCTGCCGCCGCGGCCGCCTCTTCCGCGTCCTGGACCACCACGTCCAGGACCATCGCGCGGTGGAGCACCATAGCTCCTTTCTTCCCTCACTGCGATCACAAAAGAGTGAAATTTCACATGAATAATCAAAACTCCGAGCTTTAGATGGCACCCGTGGATCCCGAAATCGGATAATTTCTACCAAACACAAACAGCGTATCGCTATGGACTCACCAGCTTGCGCGGGCGGCGGGGGCTTGGTGGGCAGCTTGGCAGGCGAGGGCGCTGGCGCGGGCTTCGGCGCCGCGGTCGCCTTCTTCTCGGCGGCTGCGAGGAGGTGGGCGGGGTCGTCGTTGTCGACGTCTCCAAGGAGATCGAATTGGTTCCTCGACGCCATTTCCGCTCGGCACTTGCTCTACTCCCAACCCGCGGTACGGTAATAATCCCCCCAGACTCGATCGAAGCCTAGCACGCCATGGAATGGGCGCGGGTGCTCTAGGGTTTGGACTTTGGTCACTTCGGGAGGCCGCAAAACCCTAGCCGCCAACGAGCTTCGCTTGGTGAGGCTGAGGCAGTCTGCACTCTGCAGGTCTACTGTACGGCACCCGGGTTTGCCTTCCGCTTTCAGACGACGGGCTATCATTTCCATTTGCCAAATGACGAAAACGGGTATATAGGGTCGAGGTAATTACTGGTGTACCATGCTGAGGCTCAATGTTGTGGTGGGGGGAGGGGGCATTTTTGTCATTTGAGTTAGTACTAGACTCGCTACCGGAGAAGCGGCGGGTCGGGCTCGGGATTTGTGGGCCTAGGTTCAAAAATGGATATGTGGACCTTTGTGGTGGTGTTGCGCGGATGCTGGTTTATTGGGCCTTTCGAACTGAACGAGTAGGAATGAGCCCAATTAACGAGAAAGAGCTGTGCTGATGCTCCTTTTTTTTCAAGAAAAAACATGTGTTCTATTAATATAGGGAGAGAGTTCTTTTATTAACTGTGATGTGATATTGTTATTACTCTCAGAAAAGTTTGGATTCCATTTTATTTTACCAACATAATATCAATAAGATATTTTTATAATGCGACATATTCTCCCAAAAAAAAGAGAAGGACAATTTTTTTTTTCGTGATCGTGCCGTGGCACGTTTTTCATTAATCAGAAGTAGAGTTTGTTACAACCTAAGTTGGCCACGGTAATCCATTGATTACCGAGACCAGCAACCGAACACACGTGGTTGTGATTTACACGGTAGTATTTTGCGACAAACAAGCTGAGCTCAAGGCCTAAATATCCTCAGCGTCAAACCTGACCAGATCCAGGTTCATGGCCACCGGATCGAATCCGTCCCCAAACAGTGCCAGCAGTGTCTCGTGCTGGTTGGCCGACAAAGGGGCCGCAAAGGTGGCCCGAAACTTTTCAACGATCCGTCGTCCACAACGTTGTAGTCAACGGCGATACCAAACTTCTGCTTCAGAACATTCTGCGTCTGTAGCGTGGAGTTTGCCGCGCGGGTTTTTTTACACGCTGAGGATTATTGGATTAGACAAAGCTGGTGACTAATGGAGATCTTGAATCTTGCGGGCCATGTCATGCCTGTACCTGAAGCCAGAGTTAGTGGATCAGAGACTATTTGCACTACACCTTTTTCTAGTGACCAATTAGGTAGCTGTCCCAAATTTCTTCATGCTTACTGAAGCAAAGCAGATGGACAGCTGACCAGCAGGGGCCCATGCATGGACCTAAACAAAACGTTCTGCCACAAGCCCTCAACCATGCATACACATGCACTTTCCTTTGGTCACAAATGAACCATGGACAGTGAATTGGGCCATGCAATGTACAATACTCCATCCGTCCAGAAAAGAATGCAACTATGAGTTGCGTACCAATAAAAGTAGTTTATGTTTGACCAAGTTTTTAATAAATAGTATTCATATTTATGGCACTGAATCAATTTATTATGAAAATACATTTTGTGATTAATCTAATGATATTTATTTGATATCATAAATATTGATATATTTTTATCTATAATTTGTCAAACTTAAGATACTAAAAAAGCATGACACTATGCTAGAATTTTTTTTTTTTTTTGACGGAAGTAGTAGCATATAAGAGTATATATGGCTGTCTCCATCATGGACTGACAAGCACTTCACCCCAAATCTCTTTGCTTTTACCGGTGGCAGTGCATCAAAGAGAGATCCTGTAGTTAGAGAAGATAAGACTCTGGTTGGATTAGCCAACATAATCAGGAGATTATTTGTATAAGATAAGATAAGACTCTGGTTGGATTAGTGCAATGACAGTATAGTCACCAAGAAAGAAAGAAAGAATATTTGTATAAGATAATAGCATATCCAAAAAATCAATAAGCTACTACGTACATGAAAATGACGGCTCCAATTATTGTTGTCTCGGCCGTTGTTGGCATATGCCAAGACCAGCACAGTTGTTCTCATTCTCAATTTCTCATATATAATTCTGCTGAGAATTGAGATAGCGGATAGCCTTCCTTTTTTATTCATGCAAACAATGCATGCCGTGGCGAGTAGATGCTCCAACTGTGGTAGCTACGGCCATGGCTCGATAGCCTGCCGCATCGCCACCGCAGACCACCAGAGAGTGAGTGAGGCCGCCGCCATGCGCTGTGGCGGCGGTGGCGCCGCCGCGGCAGGGCTGAGGCTGTTCGGGGTGCAGCTCCGTGCCGCCTCAACAAATGGCGTTGGCGCCGCTGCCGCTCCGCCGGCGCCGGCGTTGCAGCTGCACAGGAGCTACAGCGTGGACTGCTGCCTGGGCGGCTGGCCTCTGCCTGTCGCGCCGTCGGGCTTGCTCCTGTCAATCGACGAGTGCTCGGCCGAAAGAGCCGGCGACGGCGGTGGCTACCTCTCCGACAACGGCGGTCGCGGGTCGGCAGCGTTGCGGGAGAGGAAGAAAGGGGTCCCGTGGAGCGAGGAGGAGCACCGGCTGTTCCTGGTGGGGCTGGACAAGCTGGGCAGGGGCGACTGGCGCGGCATCTCCCGGGGCTTCGTCACCACCAGAACGCCCACGCAGGTGGCCAGCCACGCCCAGAAGTTCTTCCTCAGGCAGAACAGCGCCGGCGCCGCGAAGAAGAGCAGCAAGCGCCGCTCCAGCCTCTTCGATATGGTTAAAAAAGCTACTCCTATCTCAAATCTTTCGGTTTTTTAGTTCCTTTTCTGTCTGGAAGAACAAATTATTTATACTGAAAAAACATTTCTGACACTCGATGCGTGGTAGGTTCAGGATTGTGAGAGTGAAAACAGACACGTGGTGCTTGTCGTCTCCAACCCGTCAGGTTGCAAGGCCGTCGGCACCTCGAACTCTCTGTCTCCGAAGGCATCAGTTTCAGAGATGGACGAGGAACAAGCTCATGGACGATACCACTGCTACCCGCTGAACCTGGAGCTCGGCATGTCTCTGTCACCGTCGATGCCGTCCATTGGAACCTAGCTTGCGTGCTTGCCACTTACGCCGCCGTCCGTCGATCCATGAATCCACAAGATCGAGGAGTGAAAATGGCAACAAGTGTGCTGAAGCTGAAGCAAATTCGACAACAGACATGCATGAAGATGTATGGTTATAAACGAAGCTTGAATCGATGTATTGTAAATCTGGCCCTGATTTACCGTTTACCTGAAAATAACCGCAGCCTCTCCTAAAAACTGTACATGCATCTCACTTTTTGACGGGCCAAAGTTTTTTTTTAGAGGTAGTGGCACTCCATGGGTGAAGCGAGCAGACCTGACGTGTGCACTGCGTCCACGACCCAAAGTGGCTGAAGTAGTGCCATTGACAATTGGCGAGCACTCATCTAGATCTAGGCGTATATATAATTCTACATAGTGCGCGCTTGTGCTAGCTCCTTAATCTGGCCAGCAGCATTTGGCGATAGGTTCATTTGCGCATATAAATATATCTGTATGTTGCCGGATTCAAGGCAGTCATTCATCATGTCATATGCCAACCTGAAAGTGGTTGCCTTTCAGAATTCAAAGATTCAGAGAAGATATCTCAACAGATCTGTGTTTGCCAAGGCAATAGTGGAGGAACGTGCGTGTGGCGTGCGCGTGTTGCTGTATCTGAAATTCTGGATGAATCTGATGATGCAGCTGATCCAAGGACGACGATATGTATCTCTGATGCAGGTCTTTTGCATTAGTATTATTCATTCTGCAATTAAAAAGCGATCGAATCAGCCAATATTATTACACTTGAGCAATGAAATATACATCACTTACGGGGAGCGAGCTTCGGCTCGACGGGACAGGCGGGCCTCAGCCTGCCGACCGGAGTTCGAGCCCCGGTGGGGGCAGAATTTCCGATACCCACCCAAAACAATCCCTCTTGCTGTGCTCACTGGTGCGGTTGCGTCCAGCTCACGGTGTACCGGCCTCTGATTGATCTGCGGGGGGTTTTCTGTGCCGGGATCGGGATCGTGGATCCCTCTTTCTACTTGAAAGCCGTGGGGAGTACAAGGAGCACTAGATAGAGAGAAACAAAGATTATAAGACAAAGATGCACACAATAAGATGAGATGATGACTGCTCACCGGCATGCATGTCGTCACATGAGATGCTGGCGGCTCCTGGCCATACAATATCTAGGTACCCAATTAACCCGGGTTAAGGCCGTCGGTTAACTACTTAACTGGTTATCATACGCAGACGGATGGATCTGCATCTGACGACACCACATCACAGGATTTTTTCTGGGGTTTTGGACGCCCTTGTTGTTGCAAACAGACAGCCTTTAGAGCGATAGTGACGCGCGAGCTACCTCTGCTCTGCGTGACAAGCTTCCGTCCGTAGCCACATGATGCCGATAGCACCCACTAAAGATGGCAACGGGGAATTCCCCGTCGGGAGAACAGGGCACCGTCCTTGTCCCTGTGGGGATAAATTTTTTCTGTCCCCATCCCCGCGAATATCAATGGGGGATATTTCTTCTCCATCCCCGTTCCGGATTTAATCCCCGCGGGGATCCCCATCCCCGAGCACAACAAACAATGTACCAAATCACAGAAACCAAATCGCAGAAACATGACTACACAAGAAAATTTACAGAGACACATCCCAGAATCCTAGATTCATAGTAAGTCTAAGCAATCCAGCAGGCATTCGGCGGCAGGCATGGCTGCTGCGCCTCACGGCTGATGGCTCCGACGAGGCCGGTGGGTGGCGAACGATGTCCCGAGTCCTGGTGAGTGGACACCGAGAGATGCAGCGGCGTCGGACATGGAGAGATTCAGTAGCGTCGCATCGCGCTTCTAGCGTCGGAGCGGATGCAGGCAGCTGCTTCGCATCGCCTTCTAGCGTGGGAGCGGAGGGAGCGATGTAGGGAGGAGGGAGCGATGTAGGGATACGGCGAGATGCGGCGTC